ACACTACCTGAGACTTCATAACCCGACAAGAGGGATCCCTACTGGATCAACACAACCTTCAGATACGGATGCGACGCAATCATGGCGCCCATTTACTCCTAGATAGAAGCCCAACCAAAACACACGAAGCCTTACGGAACCCTACGAACGGCCCGTCAAGTAATCACTGCATTCACCACCATTGAAGAAAGTTTGCTAAATCAAATGTTAGACTCCAAACATAGAGACATCATACCCAGATTTGAACGGAACCAAATACCACCGACTACACTACTTGCTTGGGAAAAAACGGGTTTGGGACCACCAAACATCTCAGACACCATACCACAACTCCCTCCAACTTGCAGATTTGAAGAAACAAGTCGATACCACATACCAACTACCAGATCTAAGTTGAAAGGAACAAACCGAGCCACTTGCCTCTTCTTTCAAGTTGAGTCACACCAGATCTAAAGGGGAAAACAATTGACAAAACTCAGTTCCTAACACGCCGACCCTATTCCGAGGTTCCTCTTCACTCAAATCGCCAGAGCTCCATAGATCCATCAGTCACCAGCCGCATCAGCACCGCCGTGGTCAGATATGTAACTGGAAGCTAACGAGATCTTCAGAACGCCGAGCATATCGCCGAGGGGTATGAGACCATCTGAGAGGGCAAAATAAAAACGAAGCTTAAGATGAGAGAGCCTTCGACGCCGGGAAAGGACACCGCACGCCGGGGGTGAGGGATGGCTGGCGGCAGAGAGGTATTCAAATTAAAATGAAAAAGGGAATAATGTAGCCTCTCTCTATTCTCACTAAAATTTCACAGATTATACTTTTTTAGTTCTCACAATGATTTTCACTTGTTGTTTTATTTTATTAATTTTTTACTCTAAATTTTTTATTCCAGTTGAAACCCCTTTAATTCGGTGTTTGATTGAGGCTTTATTAATACTTCTACACCAGTACGTCTATGTTTCAATCTCCGGCGACAGCGATTTATCAAACAATTATGCATGTTATGATGGAAAGGCTTACAAGGGATTTTCAGTATGGTGTAAGTAAACTCGACTGGTCGTGAATCTTCATAGAACGGCTCAGGTGATATAGTTAGGAGTAGATCATCATAAGGCAGGTCGTATTATCAGTTGTCGAAATCATCTATGTAATATTTCTCATAATTATATTATCATAATGAATCAGCACTTAAAAAAATATATTCCCTCCGTTTCATATAAGTGTCACAATAAGAAATTCTTTTCGTTACAAAATAAATATCATTTTCGGTTTTCAATACAAAATTCATTAATTTTATTACGTAATTTATTTTGTATTGGTTGAAATATGGTTAGGTGTATAGGTAATTGTGTTTTTATATATAAAATATACAAAATTAATTATTTCCTTAATCCTTGTACACAAAATTAAAGTGATATTTATAATAAAACAAAAATTATATTTTATTCCTAATTCCTCTTTTGTTATGCTATGTTACACTAATTTCCCATATAATTTTTTTTAACGCTCAATGTTATAAAGCCACCAAATAAAAAATTGCATAATGTTCTTACAAAAACTTAATAAAAACCAATAGACGTGAAAAGAAAATAGCCAGTATATATTGACTATTGAGCCAAGCAATAGTACACGAAGACAAACCTTTCACACCCCAATAGGTGGAATCCGGTGGTGTACATTTTCCAAATCATGTATACAATGATACAGCTTCTGCAGAGATTAGAGAGAGGAGCCAGTAAGGACCATTGTTGGCGATGTGCGATTGATGCCTTTGGTCATTGGCAGCACTCTGCAATTTTTAAAGCTATTACATTCCTACTTCCTTGTGCATACTCCAGCGACCAAGCATTCAAACAATCTCAAACAAAGATTTCTTGAGATACAAAGGAGACTGCACTGTCCAAAGTTCGTTTTATTCCACAGCTGGATGTCATGCTTTTATCTACACTAGCAGCTTGAGCAGAGCTCAGCTTCAACGTGAAGGAACTCTATCGCCAGAAACATCTCTTAACTCAGTGAAGATAGTCTTCTCTTTCCCATGTTGTTGGAATCCGAAGTTGAAGAAACCAAAACACTTGCCCAGTGGGAAACATAGAAGAAAGTCTTATCCAAAACAAACCGTCACCACCACAAGAAACTTCCAAAAGCACCATGAAGCATAACCAAAATTAGCCTAACAATCAAGAACCACTTGATAAAACATAAAAATAAAGCACATACAGACCCAAGCCGGTAAAACCGAGGCAAGGACGCAAACATAACCTCAAACACAGAGACCAGATATGGAAAGAGGTCTTGTAAACACCAGAATCGTGAAACTGGAAGAGCACCAACAACCTGCTACAACGCTCTAGATGATGCCAAACTTCCACAGAGTAAACACCACCCAAAGCCTCCATAAAAGCGAAAGTAAAGTTGAAGAAACAACCATAGATCAACAAAGAAGAGCAATACGACGCCATATGTATCGCGTGAGGAATGATCAGACCATTATAAATCCACCAATAAGACCACCAGTGATTCTACCCGACAAAATCACACCTTTAATAGATCATAGATAATCACTTAAAGAAAAAGAGGAAGAAAGACAAAGATCCTCCCTCAGTGGCGGCAAAAACCAAACCACCGAAGAAAGTGAAAGATCTGAAAAATTACTTTTTCACCTATCTTTTTACTCCAAATTATTCTTAAATTACCAACCAAACACTTAATCTCATGAGAGTAACAACATTTACTCTATTTACCTTTTTGTCTCTCTTTTCTATTCGTTTTCTTTTCATTTCTTTTTCACTTATCTTTTTACTCCAAATTACTCTTAAATTACCAACCAGACACTTAATCTCTGACTGAAAAGCACATCCAGAGATAATTATATGGAGTAAAGGTATTTTCTGTTGAGTTACTCTGATTTTTATCTAATTAGGTGGAAGTTCTTTTCACTCATTAACGCTAGAAAAAAGGAAGTACACTAATATGTTACTCTATACTAGTGAAAATACGAGTTTTACTCCCATTTTCACTTCTTTTATAATTCCTCCTTCTCCAGCATTTTATCCTTCCATTTTACTTAATTATTTATTAGGACTGGACAAATAAAATGAATCCAAAAATTCATACCAAACCTGACTCGATAATAATGAATCCGAGCCGATCCGAACCCGACATAAATACTGAATAAATCTTGTTTTACAGTATTTTAGATTATAGGTTTTACCCTAACCGAACCCAAACTTAAAATATTAAAATATTATTGAGTACTTACAATAATAAGTCATTACATGAATAATTAACTAAAACACTTAGTCTAATACACATTTTTATTTGGTTAAAATTAATGTTTTATGTTTTATATTGCATTTGAAGTTTAGTTATGAATAAATTTGTTTTGAAGTTTAAACAAGGTTGTTGTTTGTAAAGTTTAAACTGTGTTTCTTACGTTTATAAAATTGTTAGTTGTGAACTTTAACTTTTTATGTTTTATTATGTATAATTTTCATATATATAAGATTTTGGTTTGTCATGAATCATGATATGTTTAATGTTATCACGTATAGTTCAACCACATGTCTCATATGATTGATGGATGAGTTTCACAAAAAAATTTGAATGACAACAATATGGTTTAAAGAAGCTAAATACATAAATTTATTGAACAATTGAAAATATATTAAATTTAATTTAGTAACAAATCGTATTTTTAGAATCGATAACCCGATTTATATCCAGAACTATTTTGGGTCAAGCGGATTTTGGACATGTAACTAAATCTGAACCGATCCGACTAAACCCAAACCGAATCCGACCTGAATTTTTTATAATATTCGAGTGAGAATGAGATTTATGACCCCGAAAACTTGAAATCTGAATGATCCCTAACTGGAATCCGATCAGAACCCATGTTGCCCATGCCTATTATTTACCAATCAACCTTTAGAGGTTTAAATATTAATAACTGCTACGTTGGTGGGTTTTTTTTAACGCTCGTTTGTATTATTAAGCCATTTAGGCAAATAGATTTACACAATGAGAATTAGAAAAAACAATATAGAAAAGGGATACACCAATAGAGATCCAAAGTAGACTAACACATCTATTAGCGTATGGATGACTAAAGATTTTCATGTAAAAGCTCCATATTTGCTTCTGGAATAGTTGAATTTCAAGGGAGATAATCTTCGTATTAATCCAGAAACACCATGCTTCATACTTAGTTAAGAACTCTTGCTTCTCTCTTTTTATTACTTCAGTAGGAGCCAACAAGAGAAGCAACTCTTTATATTGCTCTATTGATAATAATAGAGTCAAAGAGATTACCGTTCTATAGAATTTTATATTGTCTTTCGAAGTAACCATAGCTTGCAGCAAGAACTCCATCACCATCAAATGAGGAACTATCAACGACTGAAGACGGTAAGACCCGTCACCACAATCCGCGGTAGATCTGTCAATTATCTTTTCTAAGTGATTCAACTGAACCAAATGTTTTTCATTCCAAATCCATTGAAAAACCATATAATAGAACAATCCAAAACTTTGTCCGATTCAAAATAAATTGGCAATCAAATGAACTAGATGACCATAAAGAAAGCAAATAAAAAAATGGAAATAAGAATAATTAAACAAGCCGATGTTGGAGCTATAGAAGCCTCCGATCATCGGCTAAAACTATAAAATTTCTCTTTTTTTTTCTCTTGATGGTTAGGGTTTTTATGAATTTTTTGAGTTATTTGAGAGCTGTATAGAAAATGATTTTGTGATTCTACGTTGGTGGTTTTTAAACGATTTTCCTAAAAGAAAGAAAACGAATATTTGACAAAATTTTTTTTTTTTTGGGCGAAGTCCCCAGATACTAAAAGATATATTAAGCCGAGTGGTAAGTTGTAAAAGAAGAAAACAGAGCATGCTTAATACTTGCTCAAATTTCAAGATGATAGCGATCAACAAAAATATTCTACAAGAAGAAAATAACTGAACCAAAGCTAGTTAAGAAAAACAACATGCTTAAAAGCAAATATCTTTTAAAATTAAAAGGTTAATCAACAAAGCAAGGGTACTTAATCAAAGATATAATTGTTTTAGAGAGCAGAAATATGATAAACAAATTTAAAGATGAACCAAAATGATATTTTCTAAATCGAATAAGTACACTACTAAACAGATATTTTCTCTAGCACTTGAAGAATTTCCTTCATGGACGGTCGTTTCTGAGGCAAGGAAGAGACACAACTATAGCTTAGCCTAAAGCATGCAACCACTTCATCCTCGTGGTGAGTCACGTCACTGCTGATAGTCCCATCGACCAACCTCAAGAACCAAGTTTTCTCATCGACTTCAGAATCTCGAGCGAAATCTCGATCGACCAAGAAAACTCGACCCATGAGAAGCTCCAGAAAGACAACACCAAAAGAATAAACGTCCCGTTTGGGGTTTGGTTTCTCGCTAGCAGACCATTCTGGTGGATGGTGCTGTGAGCTCGATGTTGGGACAGTAACGAGTGAATGGGCTGGAGTTATTAAGCGGTCAAGGCCCGTATCAGCAATCATTGGCTCAAACTCAGAGTCAAAGAGAATGTTATTGGGCTTGATGTTGCCATGCACTTGCTTCTTGTCATGGATGTAGGCAATTCCTCGAGCTATGCCTCTTGCTATCTTGAGCCGTGCCTTAAAGGAGAGAGGGTTTTGGGGGGATGTAGAAGACGAACCTGATTTTGCTGTTTTCATATCAAAAGAAATGTTATGAGAGAAAGGAAACCGACCATTAGGGCTGGGAAAAAAGCGGATTTAAAATCTGAACCTTAACCCAATCCAAAAATTCAAACACAAACCAATTTGTAAAAATAATAGTTGAAACGTAAATAAATAACTCAAATACTTACTTTTTTCGATATTGGTCATATATTGTCCAAATTCATATGTTTGGAATGCTAAATTTTATTTTAAAACAGTTGGGTTCTTATGTAATTTTAGATATTGTTTTGTTTAAATCTTTCCAAAAAAAGTCTTGAACCCAACATGGATATGTAAAACAACAAACAGGTTCTATATTCGTAAACCCTAAACACCCAAAACTTGAAATATCCTAACCAAACCAGAATAGATATCCGAACATCTATCCATACCGACTAAAATGCACTAAATATATGGGGATATTTTAGCAAATATTGAGTACTGTACACGTTGATGGAAACTTACCGTAGATGGAGGAGCAATGCAAGCTTCCATTCGGGACATAGTCGGAGATGAGAAGCTTCTCTTCGTTCCCCCATACGAAGCCCCTAACCCTAACGAGATTCGGGTGCCTAAGCTTACCCATACCCTGAACCTCTCTCTCAAACTCCTTAAACTTCACAGCCGTACAACTCTCCGCTCCTATCCGCCGCACCGCAAAAGCCACGCCGTTCTCCAGCACCGCTTTATACACAATCCCCCCTCTGCTAGTACCCAACACGTAGGCCGACGCCTTTAGTAGAGTTTCGAGCTCCAGCTTTGTCTCTCCGTCGACAGTCACTAGTTGAGTTTCAGCGTTGTGTTTCACTAGCTGGTTCTCAATGTCACTCTCCGAGGAAGCGTACGATGTCTCGTCGTACCTTCCGGTTATGCACGAGGATCCCCATCTCGGTTTAGCAGCTGGAGATTTCGTGACCTCCACGGCGAATACGCTCTGTTTCTTGACGGATAAGGTATCGTTTTTCTCTAAGCAGTCTTTCAAGACTTTGAAAGTGCTGTACTCTTGGTAGCTTCTGCGTTTCTTGAGCTGGTATACGTAGAGTATGAACATAGCTATGATAGCTAGACCAGCTATATCTGCAACGGTGATTCCCACGATTGTTGTTGGCTTTAGTTTGCTTTTTGTAGCTGCTTGGTTTGGTGATTCTGGTGAAGGGTTTGTTGGAGATGGTGAAGAAGAAGATCTCGGCATGACTGCTATTGCTGGTGAAGTAGTGTTTTGTGGGTCTGAAAGTGTGGAAGGGATTGAACAAGGGGTCTTTAGTGGCTGACCACACAAGCCTAGATTACCTAAAAAAGACTCTGTCTTCTGGTTAAGCATAGGTGGGGTACTTGGGATTGGTCCGATGAGATTATTGAAGGAGAGATCGAGAACGATGCTTGCTGGAACTTTCTGAGCGAATGTCGGAGAAATGTCGCCGGATATTTGGTTGTGTGATAAGTTGAGGTAATGGAGACTTGTTCCTTCGAAATCAGGAGGGAGAGATCCGTCTAGAAGATTTGAGGAGAGATCAAGAACCGTCAGGTTCTTGAGTTGTGAGAGATCTTGAGGGATTTTACCTGTGAATGCGTTGGCTGAGAGGTTCAAGAGCTGGAGAGTCGCCACGTTGGTGATACTATCAGGTAATTGACCGGAAACGTTGTTGTTACCAAGGGACAGGACACGAAGCTGAGTAGCGTTGGAGACTGAATCCGGGAGTGAACCATGGAAGAAGTTGTTGGAGAGATCCAAGATTCTTAGATTTGGGATTGAAAACAAGGTTGGGGAAACAGAACCAAGGAGCTGTTTGTTGGGGAGGACCAAGCTTGTGACTCTAAACATATCTGGAGTGTTTGGATTCCCAAGCTCTGTGCAGGTAACACCTGTCCAGGAGCATGGTGTTTCATCGTCGTAGTTCCAGTTTCGTAGAACAGAGAGAGGGTCACCGGTGATAGTGTATTTGAAAGAGAGCAGAATGACACCATCGGTGTTAAGAGCTTGGAGTAAGGTGGGGAGAAGAAGGAGAAGAAGATGGAAGATGAAATGATTAGAGAGGTTACTTCTGTGGGAAGTCATGGTTTTGAGTTCTTGGGATTTTTTTCTTTCTCTGAGTATGCTTATGCAAACTGTGTATTCATAGGATAGAGAGATAAGAGGGTTAAGAAAGAGAGAGAGAGAGGGTGAACCACTGCAAGTTGTGATAATTGTTTTGTTCACCAAATGTATGAGATATTGGAGCAAAGCAAAACTATGAGGTGTTAAAGAGAAGGTGGAGAGGCTAAGAGAGAGAGAAAAAGGGGTTTGGTTATTTTTATTCCTTTGTTTTTATTTTAAAAATTCTTTTTGTCGTTGTTATTTCTCATTTAGTACTTTGTCTTTTGTCGAAGTTTGTGAAAATGTCACGAGAAATATTGTGTTTCTTTTGTTTCATATGAGTTGTTTTTTTAGTATAAGTAATATATATATATTACATATGTTTTTGTTCTGTAAAATGAGATTTAAACTTTTGAATGTTATGACTGAGAGTAAACAAGACATATTCTTGTGGTTTTTAAGGTATGTACATTTCGGATCCTTAGCCCAATTTGTTTTGAATTTTGACTTTGCATTTTCATTTTACCATATATGTTATACATATGTTTGTTTAATACGAGAAACTTTTCAGAGTTAAATAAGAAGCACAGTTGTATCTAAACATATAAGAATTGTTTTTTTCGCGTAATAAACTAAACAAAAGCGAGGTAGTTTAAAAGTTCAAATATTTTCAAAAACCTTTAACATGCTTTATCATTTACATGTTAAAAGATTTTTTTCGTAAAAATAACCATAATAATATATTTAAAATATAGAAGAAGATATAAAAAATATATATATAAATATATAAATAGGAAAATCAAAATATTTGTGTCTAGAGTTAAAATAGAAAGTTGAAATATATTTAATTCAAAGTCAAAAAATTAGAGAAGAATATATTAGTTTTTGGTGAAGAGGAATATATTAGTTTATAGATCAAATTTTAATCTTTGTCTAGGTGTCTCTCTCACAATTGGTTATAATACGTTCAATTTCTTACATCTATAATTCAAAATTAAATTAGCATCGGTTTGATGATATTAAGGTTGTTAAGATGGATAGACCAATCCAAACTAAAACAATATATAATGTAGATAAATTTTATAAGATTCAATCCTTAATATTTAGGGACCGGAGTTTTGGTTTGAGTTCATATCGATTTTTTGCAGTTCCAAGTTTTTGAGATATATGAATATTAGTTTCACATAATACAGATGTAAAATTTTTATTCTGTTTTGGATGGCTTCTTATCGGGTTTGTCTTTTAAATTGAATATCTACTACGAACAAAAATATTTTAGTTCTTGTTTAGTTTCGGGGTCTTAGTTTCTTTTTATATCTAAAATGTCAAATTTGTATCCAGAAATTGCATATTTGTACCTGAAAATTGTACAGGACCAACAACATTAACTATTATACAAACTCAATTGTACATGTCCAACACACACAAATTAAGTTTCACACCAAAAAAGAATAAGATGTAGTATAATTGGTTTGAAGATGATGAATCAAAATTATGAGATTATATTTTCCATATTTTTTATTTTGATATTTATTTAATTGTTTAGGTATCCAAAAATTAATTTTTATCAAATAATGATTTATATTTTTCAGTGAACTAGAACAAAATTAAAACTTAACTCGATTAAATTAAACCAGATTCAAACCAAACCAAAACAAACCAAACTGAACCAAGCACAAATACCAAATTAGTTCCGGTTTACTTCATTTAAAGTTTCTTTAGAACCAAACTAACCAAACCTAAATCAAACCCGAATTCAGACCTAGATGCCTAACCATAGCCGAAACAAATAGACCCTTACGAAAAAGAGAAAATCAAAAGATGATCTTAAAGGCAGTTAGGTAGCAAAAAAAAAAAAAAAAAAAGGCCCATTGCAATAAGATAGACCAAAGTCTAACAGCACAAGTCCGCACACTTTTAACGCAAAAGAGTAAACATGCCGTCACTCCACTTGACGCCGGCGATCTCCTCCGGCGTATCCGCCGTCGCTCTACGGCCAGGTTTTCAGCAACGCCTCCCAACTCGCCTCTTTCCCTCGTTTAATCCACTCCGTTTGGCTCCAAACCCGCTCATTTCACTTAAGAGGAGAGCAACAATCTCTTCTTCATACCAATCGCTTCCCTACGGTTTCCAAATCCGAGAATCTAAACCTAATTTCACACCATCTTCCTATCCAACGTCTCCTGGTTCCGTTTCCAGTGATAGTGACGTCGACAAGGCAAAGCTCGCTCAGGTTCTCGAATCTTGATTTTTTAATTGGCGTAAAAGAGAGTGTGTTTTTTTTTTTTTTTGAGTATTGAGTGGTTGTAACAGGTGGCCAAGAGATTGGAGAAGACTTCAAGATACTTCAAGAGGCTGGGGAGTATTGGTTTCTGGGGGCAGCTTGTATCAACTCTTGTGGCGGCTGTGATTCTATCTTTCTCTGTTGTTGTAACTGGGAAACCTACTTCACCTGCTACATTCTATGCTACAGCAAGTGGGATCGCTGCTGCTTTTGTCTCCGTCTTCTGGTCCTTTGGGTATATTCGTCTCTCTGAGAGGCTTCGTCGAACTGCTGGTGACCCTGCCAAGGTACTACTCTTCGTTCTAGTTTGTGAGTGAGTACTAATGAGTAATGACTACGCCAAAGTGTAACAGTTAGAAGAAAACCAGTAAGGAGTCTATCTAGTGTTGTCTTGCTCCGACCGGTCTATAAAAGATGTTTAGGTCTGGGCATTTTGGGTATCAGCTAGTTGGGGGGTAGGGGGTTAGAGGATCCATTTACTACTTGGATATTTTTGGTTCGGGTAGTTTAGGGTTCAGTTCGGTTTGGATAGTAAAACTGAAACCAGAAAATACCTCGAAACAATCCGGTTCTCGTTTGGTTCGGTTTTTTCCAGTAGTCCGGGTAATTCATGTTAAATATTGGGTATTTTGGGTAAAATATTGAATAGTTCAGACAAAAATCTCGGATATAAAAATATATGAACCATTCAAATATTTAAGGGTTTAGGTCCGGTTTCAGTTTCGGGTATTTTGGTTCGGTTCTTTGGTTCCGGTTTTTTCCCAGGCCTAGTTCAAACGTTGAACCTCTGGTAATGCTGATAGAGAAAAAAGATCCCTTCGATCAATGAATGGTTAAGTCTTAGTTTGTTTGTAGATTGATTTTGAATATTTGGTAAGGCTAGGAGAGAACCATCTGATAATAAAATAGCCAATTTTTAATCAAGGGGTTGTATTTGTTTCAGGCCCCTCCTCGTGCTGATGTTGTGAAAGGATTGAGAAGTGGGATTATGGTGAATCTTCTTGGAATGGGAGCAGCAATTCTCGGGATGCAAGCAACGGTTGGGTTTTTAGTTGCAAAGGCTTTAACAACTTCAGCAAGCCCTTTCTACCAAGGAGTCTCTCAAGGATACAGTCCCGTTCTTGGTCTTGATGTCTTCCTCGTTCAGGTATTGAGCACATGCTTTTTACATACTATTGTCTTTTTTTTTTTATTACATTGCTAATCAAAGACTAGTGGTGTCTTTTTTTAAGTTTACTATTTTAACTCAAGAAAGACTTTGTTGCAGGCATCGGCGAACACCTTACTTTCTCATTTCCTAGGCCTTGTTTGTTCGTTAGAGCTGTTGCGGTCCGTGACGGAGGCTAACTCGGGATCTGTCGTAGTTCCCAAAGTTGCATGAGTTTCTCCCATGTTTAGACCTACTCACTTCTTGTCTTCATAAACGTCAAAGGCCGAGACTTGTTTACTTTTATCATTGAGAACCAACCGTTGTGGTAATAACGACAATTATTGCTGAATTACAAATGTGATTTATCGTATAAAATATCTGAAAGGTAGATAACTCCTTTAAATAAGTATATCCATAGAGTAACTGAAAGTCGCAGTTTATTAATAAAAATAGGGAAAATCGCATAAAAAAACCTTCAAGGTGGCAAGCACTTACACTTTAAACCCTGAGAGTATTTAACAAGCATTTTAAACATTCAAGTTGGCAAATTTAACATATTAAACCTCCAATTTGGTTTACTTGTACATCAAGTCAAAAAGGTGACCGGTACTATTCAAAAATGATGACGTGTCGGTTTTTTTTTTTTAAATATTTTATTAAAAATAAATCGAAAAATACATAAAATATATAAATTAATTAAAAATCATTTAAAATTCATTAAAAATTCAAAAAAATTCAAAAAAATTCATAAAAATTCAAAAAAATCATAAAAACCATAAATATTAAAAAATCACAAAATAATTAAAATATTTTATTAATAAAATATTAAATATAATAAAAACTTAAAAGAAATTATAAAAAAATCCCAAAATAAGAAAATTCACAAAAATTTAAATAAAATAAAAATTAAACTTAAATAAAATTAATATAAGAATAATAGATGAAATAAATATAAATTCCAGAATAATAATTTTATTTGTTTTATAAAAAATGAGAAAACACTATATTTTTTTTTTAAAAAAAGAATCATTATCTTCAAATGATTCTCGTGAACCAAATCAAAGCAAAAAATTAAATTCCTAGTCTTTTAGCACCTAGACTTTCACCTGCATAAGTTTTTTTTTTTAAATTATATTGTTATTTGTTTTTCGTGTCACTATTATATATTATATATATATATATATATGTCATCGTATAATTAATCGTATTTGATATGCATCATCAAATGATACTCGTGAACCAAATCAAAGCAAACAAGTTAAAATCCAAGTCTTTTAGCAGTTATTAAAATACCCTATATTAATCTAGTTATAAAATCCAGAAAACCTCGACTAATAAGCAACAAAATGAGAACAAAATGACTTGGAAATTAATTTGTTTGCTTTGATTTGGTTCACGAGAATCATTTGAAGATAATGATTCTTTTTTAAAAAATATATAGTGTTTTCTCATTTTTTTTATAAAACAAATAAAATTATTTCTTCTTGAATTAATATTTATTTTATCTATTATTCTTATATTTGTTTTATTTAAATTTCATTTTTATTTTATTTAAAATTTTGTGAATTTTCTTATTTTGGGATTTTTTTATAATTTTTTAAGTTTTTCTTATTTTACTATTTTATTAATCAACTATTTTATTATTTTGTGATTTTTTAATGTTTATGATTTTGCTGATTTTTTTGAATTTTTATGATTTTTTTTTAATTTTTAATGATTTTTTAATGAATTTTCTATTTTCTGTATTTTTATATTTATTTATTAGTAAAATATTTAAAAAAAAAAAAAAAACAAACCGACACGTCATCGCTTATGAATAGTACCGGTCACATTTTTAACTTGATGTACAAGTAGGCCAGATTGGAGGTTTAATATGCTAAATTTGCCAACTTGGATGTTTAAAGTGCTTGTAAAATACTCTCAATGTTTAAAGTGTAAGTGGTTGCCACCTTGAAGGTTTTTTTATGCGATTTTCCCAATAAAAATAACGAAATGTATCCATCCATTTTGAACCATTTTCTATTGAAATGTTTGTTGAGTTTGGTTCTTTGGTTTATTCAGTAGAACTTTAGAATCATGAATTTAATGGTAAGATTTTGTAGTTAGGAGTCTCTCAATCTTGTAGACTTAAAAAAAAACAAATACATTTTTTTTTTTGGAATTACTAATATGTACATTGTTAATCCAAAAATTTGGAAGATGTTTTCTATGTCCTTGAAAAATTATTGTATTCAACCCATCACACAAATCAAATGCTTACATTCTAGGATGAAATATATAATCATTGACTATCACTTTGTTTGAGGGCATAAAGTATCCAGCTTTCTCTGAGTTCTCTCTACATTCTCGGTAATTTTCGAGTGAAGACATTCATTGGAATAATATGATAACTAGATGATAACCCGCGCGTATGCGCGGGGTGAATTTTTATACTAATATTAATTCATTAAATGGTTTTTAACATTTTGCAATACTACAGTATTTATCGATTATAAAATGATGAACACAAATGTTGGTATCTTAAATCATCATAGGTCTGGACGTTTGAGACTTCGTCGGTTATAGTTTGATTGACACGTATTTTCAGATTTTGGTATTATTCTCATAAATCCTATTTGAATTTTACTAATTATCGGATTGGATTCGATTTGATCTTCTCAATTCAGTTTGGATTGGATTGTATTCAATATCTGAAATCATCCCAAAAAATATTTCTTAAACATTAAAAGTTGAAAAAAAAATCAAAATATTTAAACTATTAATAAATCTAATTTAAAATTAGTTAAATTATCTAAACAAACTAAAAGATATTAAAAAAAAAAATTAAATAAAACAAACTACAAAAATCTTTCGAATACTATAATTTGTATCTATTAACCTCAAACATTTTCACTGAAATTTTTAAATTAACATATTTATAGTATGAATATCTACTAATGATACTTAATATTCGTACGATTTATGATAATTTGTATCTTCTTTGGAAAAACAAAGTTAAACCATTGATCATAAATTTTTCAATGTGGGATTTTACTATTTTTAGTTATTTATGGTCGTTTTAAAAAATTTAAAATATAACCTCTAAGAAAAAAAATAATTTTTTATTATATATTTAAATACGATTGTTTAATTTATTTTAATAATTTAAAATTAAACAAAAAAGAGAGAGGATACAAAAATATGTATTATTCATAATCATTAATTATATATATATATGTTAATCATATTAGGTAATTCCGTGGCTTTTATTTAAGGAAATAAAATATATTGTTTTATACCTAGTAGAGTTGGTCACTTAAAAAATGTCTATATATTATAGTCCTAAATGCAAGAAATTAAATGTTACATTATTTCATTCCTAGCAAAGTTGGTCCATTAAAAAATTAAAGCTGAGAAGCTCTATGAGCTTGACACGTAAGCATGTTCTCCAAAGTTGTGCATTTATGAATGTTTCAGGATTAATATATAAGGGATTTATTAGGTTAGACAAATTAACTGAATTTACACAATGGGATTTAGAACACCGGTTAACCATCGTATTAATAGTTGTTTTAAGAATTAGAGAAAAAGATTTGTTTCGATTCTGCATATCTTTTTCTCAATTTCTATATGGGTAACAATTTTTTATTGATTTCCTTTATATATACAATCTGTTCAGTACTTGTAACACATTAGTGCATAATTTACATAATCGGAAGAAAAGTCACTTTTTTGTTATTTAATAAGCTGCATTGCCGATCCAACATTTTTATTTTTTTCTTAATGCCCTAAACTCACTTAAAATTTCATGCTTTTATTATTCATATAAATTTTTTTAATGTCCTATATATAGTTAGAATTATCATTTAAAATTATGATGTTCTAAGCGGTCACTTAATCGCTTGTGTTTTGTACCGGCCTTGTAATAAAGCCAGTTAACTTGACCAAAGAAAAATTAGGTTGATGTCTCCCGTCCGACAAAATATAAATAGAGATGTCATTTTATTCAAAGTCCACAAATTCTTTAACGTGCAAGAAAATGCATAGAGAAAATTAGTTTTAAGAAACTATTTACTTTGTTATTTTTTTTCAAAACAAAACTACTATTTAGTTAGTTATGCTTCATTTTTTTATTTTCTCCGTATGCCTGACTCTGTTAAGCATGGTTACAAATAAATCTCAAGATTACATACTGAGATTAAAGCCTATCTTATTATAGAGCAAATATATAAAACTTGTGGCCAAGTTTCCTGGTGTCTGATGTTATGTCGGTAGCTGTAATTTGAATAAATGAGAGACTTCTGTAGTTCTGTTCATTCTATTGACTGTTGCGAGTCCAACCCAATTCACACGCTAGAAAAGCTAAATAAGTAAACTTCCGCAGATGACATTGACATACTAAGTATGTAAACTGTTGTGAGTCCAATCCAATTCTTACACATCCACGAGGACCACGACGCAACTAAGCATTCGTTTTCTTTATTTAAACCAGCTTTTCTTATTTTTCTAAAACAAACACTTTCTTCCACTAAAAGTTTTCATGACAACTATGTCCGAATCAAATGTGCGTTTTCATTTTCTCTCGCTGCTCTTACTCTCTTGTTTCTTCCTTTCAAGCTTTGCCAATACAAAAAAAATTACAAATAATGCTTGTCCTTCTCACCAGATTCATGCCCTTATGCAGTTCAAAAACGAATTTGATTCCAGCAGCTGTAATCAAACCGACTACTTCCATGAAGTCTTGTGTGATAACACGACAGGTGCAATCACGAAGCTACAACTCCCAAGTGGCTGTCTCACTGGAACTCTAAAGCCCAATAGTAGCCTCTGTTAAGCTAGATGGGCTTCCAACTTAAAACCAATTGGTGATAAGTGGAGTGGCCCATCTATCTTATATATTGCTTAAGATCCCTTCCAACAACCGATGTGGGACCTTTGTCCCTAATACGCCCCCTCGAGATGATAGCTCTTTGGCATCAATCTCGGAATGTTCGGGCAAGGATCGATGGGCCGACTTTGGGCTGGATCGATAAGGATCGGGTTGGACTGCGTGGATCGTGGGCTCTGATACCATGTTAAGCTAGATGGGCTTCCAACTTAAAACCAATTGGTGATAAGTGGAGTGGCCCATCTATCTTATATATTGCTTAAGATCCCTTCCAACAACCGATGTGGGACCTTTGTCCCTAATAGCCTCTTCGGGTTTCACCATCTACGTTACCTTAATCTCTCTTATAACAATTTTATTTCTTCTTTGCTCCCTTCCGAATTTGGAAATCTCAACAAACTAGAGGTCTTATCTCTTTCCTCTAGTGGCTTCCTCGGCCAAGTTCCTTCCTCGTTTAGTAACCTAAGCACGCTTTACCAACTAGACCTTTCCTATAACAACCTCACTGGTAATTTTCCACTTGTACAAAATCTAACCAAACTATCCATTCTCCAACTTTCCGATAATC